TACCGGCCAGATTTCGGCTCACTTCGGCGACGGGAGGGGCATTTTGCACTTTCACTGCTTCACTAGTTCCGGTTTACAAGTCTCACTCTGGTGAAACCTGTGAACTCTTGTGAAGCTGGAGCAAGCTCGTCAAGCCATCATGGTAAAACCTGTCAACTCGAGAAGAGGCTGTCTAGATGGGTCGACACGTCGATGGGAAGTAGCGAAAGTGCAAAATGCCACCCTCCAAACAGCTCCCCAGATTTTGATAAAACATTCTCCCAGAGATCTGTGCGGCTAGGATAATGCCTTTGGGGCTGTGGGGCATATGAGCACCAAATTCTCAGCCGCTTTGCTCAGAATCGGCCGGCCGTACCACAGCTGCGGACCTAGAAGGCACCTGCAACTGTGACAGTTGGCTTCAGAATCGGCACCATTGGCGCGAGCAACAGCATCGCATCAACCGGATATGGGTTTCCATGTATTAGGCTACCAGTGGAGATACCTCGACCAAATCTCCCCTGGGAAAAAGTTCCATTGAAGTGTGACCTAAGCTTCGAAGAAATGGGCATGAATAAATAGTGCCAAAGAGTACACTGACCGTCAGATTCTCTCATCGAAAATTTTTCGTATCCCATATGAAACACTGTTCATTGAAGCAAGCAAATAATTCAATACACAAAATAATGCGGTATGAGCAGCCCCACGTACTGGCTGGAAAATTTCCGTAGTTTTGATCCCTAGCTGAAGCACCATTTCTCCACTCACTATTTACATTTAGTCATAGAAAATGTTTTAGAAAGAGACGAACTCCGACTCAGTTGGAGGAGATCTGAAGGTGAAACTGGCTGAAGCGATCGCCGTCGAGATGAGTCGCTCGAATGCCCGCGACTGTCGCACCGTAATTCGCTTCATTCCGTGGCTTATGAGTCCACCAAGTGTCACTCAGGTCGGCTTTGGAAGAAGGCTATCCTCCGAACCTCTCTACATAGTTCCAAAAAAAACTATTACATGCTTAGGCTGCTCCTGGAGCGTTTGCGGATTCCGTAACAAATGTCCGTGTGCTTTCCTGGCTGTTACTCGGAGCTCTGCATGCAAATCATGGGTGTCTACCCGTTCCAATTGAATGCAGTCAGCACATGGCTGACTATATCCACTTTGTTCTCGCTGGTTTCGCCGACCAGTCAAAGGTTCGTGATTGAAAAGCAAGCCATGGTCAGAATTTTGACTTCTGAGCTGTCCTACCGTTTTAGCAATCTGTTGTTCACATGTCCGCACTGTTTCATGCGTTTCATCTTTGCCAGTTGTGGACAGTCTATTGTGAGCGAGCAGCTGTGTTCAGGTTTGTGCCCACTGTTTCGCTTTTGAATGGTTCCAGAAGGACTGAGTAGCTCCACATAAAAAGCTGTGTTTCTTTCGTGAGCGATAGAATGAGAATAGTGCACCAAAAAGTGACCAATTTCCAGCTCTGCAACGGCCTTTCCGCATCTGCTAGATTTCTGGGCTCGAGTGACACCTGCTATTCTCCAGCTTCTGAATCACTCGAAAGTGGTAAGTTTTCATTATACACATACGTATCTAACTTCGCGGAGATTGAGGACAAACTGGGAGGCTCTCATCAAGACACCTGAGCCCTTCAGTAGTACTGGCTAGAAAATGCTCTGCTTGTTTCTGCCATTGCAGCAGCAGGAAACTAACGACCCACAACCTATAGCAGTATTGGATATGTTGCGGAACGTGATAGAATTTGAGAGCTATCAGCAAGCCAATCAAAGGCATCATATACGACAAATTGGTACTCGCTGAAAAATA